AGATACTCCATAGTGGCCAGATAGTTAAAGTGTTTATGAAGTACTGCACTGTATACATACCATAAAGAATGAGAAAATACTGATTTTTTGCTAAGGAAAGTTGTTGGAAGACTCTTTAAACCAAGATCCCATTCCTGCAGAGATTTATATACATGATTAACTCTATGCAGTTGAATAGTCTAATGACTTCAACGGAACTACTTACATGCATAAATATTTGCAGAAGTATGGCCCAAATATTCAGGGGAGTCATATATTGAAAAGACTAGACATCACGAATTGTTGACAGACCACATTAACTATTATACCTGTATTAAACTGTCATATTTTTGTTAAGACTTTTTGAGTCACTTTTACTTAAAGAAGCTTTTCAGGTGAGCTTAACATATATCAGACCAGTTCCTAGTAGACACATGAATGCCTACATTACAGAAAATACCATCACAACTGACTGTGTATAAAGAGAAGATTTCTCCACAGATGTCAAATCAGTCACTATCTCTAGCATTGCATTCACTTAAAACAACATTAAATAATTAAATATGCTTCCTTACCCAAATTTGTATCCTTCTCCATTCTGCACATCTTATCATAGAATATTAGAACTGGAAGGAATCTCCAGAGGTCATCCAATCCTGTCCTCTGCCCACATGCCAGGACCAAACATCTTGTTTTGTTATTATAAGGCTGCTAATGAATGCAGGATTCATGCCAGTGATTCCTTTTTAGAAAGAAAAAAGAACAATTAAGCATTTGTCACAAATACCTACAAAAGACATACACATTTAATAAATTCAATTGACTTGCTGATATATAAAAATCAAACAAATGTCAAGCCCAAACAATCTTGACCATGTTTCTTTAAATGACTAATTAATTAAAATGCGATTTTCAGAAAAACCAAAATTAGTTGGAAAGTCTGTGAAACTTCCAAACAGATGAAATCCAGATTATCGGTCAAATTTCAATCCCATAACTGGTGTCACTCCTATGTGAAATCAGTGGGAGTGAGAAGAGAATCAGGCCTTGTGATCCTTAACAACTGAAGTTTACTTTTAAGAATCGTTTAATGTCTAAGTATTTGATTACCCTAACATTTACTAAATATCGTTTTTCATTGGTGTGGTAGTTTTCAGTTCTTATGAGCTTTCACCAGTACTTCAATATTGTAAATTTCTTTTCTGGGAAGCTGTCCAATCTGTAAGATAAGAAGGTGATGAACTACACTCAACACTATTTGAGTTCCTAGAAAATAGATGGAAGCCACTTTGAAACAATATCAAGCAAACAGTAAACATTGTGTTAGTGACAAGATTTTGGTATTTTTCTGTTAAATAAAATCTGTGGTCTATCTTTTAGGTGAAGTCTCCTTCCAGTTCCCCTTGTTTCAAATATGAATGTTAAATTAATTAGCATTACATTAATTAAATAAAGCTACTAGATGTTGTATCCAAGTGCTGCTCTATAGCAACTAAACCTGCAAATGCCATGAGGACAATGGTGGGCGAACCACAGCCAACAAGAGCTGCAAGTGGCCGTAACTGCAGACATGTGAATAAATAAAGCATCTGGAAGCCCATGAAGGGCTAACCCTGGTGAACAGCATCTGGCCTGCGGGTTGCTTATTGCTCACCACTGCATCAGGGGCTTCTTGTTGGGCCCTATTCCACCAAAGCCAAGGCAAACATTAATAAGGATTGACTCTATGTGGCCAGGACAAGAGAAACTTCAGAACTCTGGTAGTTGGTGATCTCAGCATCACTTATCTGTGACATCCCCACACAGCACTTCTTGTCTTTTTTACCTTCCTTTCACCTCCATTATCTCCCTTTTACCCCTTTTATGTCTTCTCTTCTGCTCTTGTTAACCCTCTCTTCCCATCCCCTTCTCTCTCTCCCAAGTGTTCAAACCCTTGCTGACCTACCCTGGATTCCTCTTCCGGTGTGGTGCTGACCCCTATCTTAATCTTGGTACTTAAGCATATCTACATTCTCCTCTTCAACTCCTTCTAGTGCCTCCAGCTTTAGTTCCTCTAAATTTATTCTCTTCTCCTCCCCATTCTGGAACACCCATCCAATATTAAAGTACATCAATAAATTAAACAATGGTTCTACCTCATCAAAACATGCATATTGCCCCAGTTCACCAAAGCATCTAAGGATGTGCTTAATTTTTCAGCCCAGAGTAGTGGGCCAGCCTGTCCCCCTCCCTTCTAGCCACTATTGACATGTGACCTGGAAGGACTATGGCTTTCCCTGGGAGTGGAGGGCTAGACTGAGGCTGCTGGTGACCATCATGGCAAGTGCTTGACTAAAGACTGCTGATAACACCTAGAAGGGGGCAACAGACCATTGGAGTAGGCACTGCCAGAGGGCAGTGTCCTGAAGAGGATGCAGTGGTCAGGGAGCAACACAGATGTGGACTAGGAGTGTGGAGAGAGGATGGGAGAGACACCAGCCAGGAGGTGACACCATCATTTTAGGATTAAACAAAGACTGTGAATGGCTAGCCAACTACAGAAGCCATTTCTCCTCTCTTGGTGTTCACACCTCCACATCAGCTGCTAGAAGAGGACCTCACCCTCCCTGACTGACTTAACCTCGTTAGCTCTAGCCTTATTCTGGCCTGCATATTTATACCTGCCTCTGGAAATTTCCACTACATGCATCTGACGAAGTGGGTCTTTGCCCACGAAAGCTTATGCTCCAATACATCCGTTAGTCTATAAGGTGCCACAGGACTCCTTGCCGCTTCAGCCAGGAGGAGGCACCTTGCTGATGAAATAACTAATTCCCAGGAGCTACCAGTAGCAGGTGTCATTGTGGTGAGTTCCACCCTGTGATACAGTTAGACTTATTCATGGTAGCAATTTGCAGGATCAGTGTTCAGGACAGGGATTGTGTCCTTTTATTTCTTTACTTGACTCTTTAAGTAGTGTACAAGGATAAGGGACTATGTCCTTTTATTTCTTATGCTAGTGACGAGACTTTGATATTTTGAATAACACATTTTATTCTGTATGTATAATACAGAATGAATTATTTATTTTATTCTCTAATATTTCCTCTCATTCAGCCTTGCCTGATTTCTTCCTTGCTCACCTATTTCTCTATCTCTTCCTTCTCTAGTTTTATTATGTCTGTGTGCAACAAGTTTAACACAGCCAGTATGGAACCTAAAGCATGGATAGAAGAAAATCCTGTGTTTGGCTCATGGTAACCCATGTTGTTTCCCCTCCCCTTAGTATGCTTTGGCTTCCTAAGCTAAGGTTCACATCTCTCCACCGCATTATATTGATCCGTATACCGATTCATATAGGGGTTTATCACTGCAAGGAGCTCAGCACTCTGGTCTTGATTCATCCAAACACTTGAGCACATGCTTTCCTGTAGGGATTTTTAAACTTATAAGGGTAAGCTGATAGCTGGTCACGAGACACTTTCTTTATCTGAGCATCTGCAGGCACAGCCACTCTCAGCTCCCGGTGGCTATGCTTCACCATTCCTGGTCAATGGGAGCTGTAGGAAGTGGTGGACCAGCTGGCACTGCTTCTTGCAGCTCCTACTGGCCGAGAACAGTGTACCACGATCTGGGAGCAGCCATAACTGCACATGCTCAGGAAAACAAACCTATGCTTTACTACAAACATGTGAGTAGCTTTACTGAAATCAGTGGGAGTACTCATGGTTAAAGTTAAATATAAGCTTAAGTGCTTGGATGGACCAAGGGCTCAGTATTCAGCATTTGGCACAATAAAATCTTTTAATGTACCCATCACTGGGAAGTGTCTCTCTGGGAAGTGCAGCTGACTCCATGGCCAGCAAAGTCTCTGCCTTTCATAGTTACCGCCCCCTTTTTATAATAGGTTGATTCACTGGTGTTCAGATTAACATGTGTATATTACATCATCTTCCCAAACCAGTTTGCATGACTCGTTTTTACCTGGCACCCAGCAAATAAGGATAATAAGCAATCTCTGCTTTCTGTTTTACTGAAACTTAGATACAGAGCCATAAGACAGGTTACTGTTCCCCGTGTGACTTTAAACGTGACCTTCAATGGTTAAGGAGAGGGTATAAGTATCTTTTTTTAGTCTTTATCCTTTAAAGTTCTTTGGGGTTTTTTCCCTACTACTACTTGTTTTTACATTTTAAATTCAGGTCTTATTTATAGTGCATCAAGAAAATAAAAGGTGAATTACTGAGTGCAGAAGTAAATTTTACTCAGATGGTTTAAAACTCTAGTTTTTAACAACTATTTCACTCAAATACTTCAAAGATGGCAGAAATGTTTTGTTTGTGTGAGAGTCAACACGATTACACTTTCATCCTTCAGAAAGGATACGACATTCCTAAATAAAAACAAAAATCCTAAAAATAAGAATTTAGGCTATAACAATGGGCACAGAAGGAACGATCTTACTATAATGTACTGAATAAACAGTTATCCCTCCATGTTAACCACATACATAAGTGCTTTATTGAACTGAGGTCCAAGATTTACAAAATGGTGATGGTGTTTTAAACACATTATTTGTGTTTCTTATATGTAGATTCTATATATGTGAACAAAGCATGTGATAATATACTACTACTTAGGCTTGTGGTATGAATAAGTCAATGGATACCTATAGGTACTTTAAACATTGCAGCTACCTCAACATCTTAAAACCTCCTTCTTCACCTTAGCACAGCAGGACAATAGGATTATTGAACCAAAGAAATATTAGCTGCCTGGCTTTTTCCTTTAGGTAATGTGTTTAGTTTAGAAATACCCAGTGATAAAGATACACAGCTGCAGAGAAACCAACTGTGTAGACAGATGGATGTCAATAAATAAAAAGGAGAGAAAGTGGCTGGATGGCTGATTCCAAACAGGAAATTTGGATTTGAATACAAGTTATGGACTCCTCTAATCCTGGGCTGTTCAAAACCTATGTATTGGTTCTACTCACTATAGTGATGTAAAAATTTGAAATCAAACTCTGTTTTTTCTTTCAGGCCCAATATACTGGTTAGTTATTTTTGTTCTCTCTCATAACCAGCATGCAAATACACAAATATATAAGACAAACACTTAAGAGTGGAATCAGAAATACAGAAGTTTTTGACTAAATATTGGCAGGGTATTAGCAAGAATAGCGCAAAAATTTGAAATGTGAACATACACTAGATGATCCATTTCATCCCTTCATCATATTTCTTTAATCTTCTCAGGAGGTGATGACATTACACACAATCGAAATCCTAGCCTAGTGGAAGCTGTTAAAGATAGCTTGTAATGTATTAATAAAAGGCCACGTAAAGAACAATGAAATCTTGTCAGTTGTAATCAAAATATTATTCCAAGAAATTAAACATAAAAGATAAAATAAACAGCATGTCTACCTTCATCCATTTGCATTGTTATGCTATGGTTACACAATGTGAAGCTGCAATAGAAAAATTATTTCCATGAAAGGTTAGACAGAGCTGGTGAATTATGTTATTAGAAAACAAAAAATTAGAAAATGAATGCTATATCTCTTTCAGTGCAAATTTGGATATAGTGATGGGATTCACTGCTGTATTATGATAATATGCTTCCTTTGTAGAAGCCTATGAAGAAACCACTATTTTTGTTAAATGAAGAATTAAGGTATATTTATGCTTTTATTCATATTAATAACTCAACAGCCTGTACAATAGCACCAAGATCTTTTATGTTTACAGGCAGTCCCCGAGTTACGCGGATCCGACTTATGTCGGATGCGCAGTTACGAACGGGGATTTCTCGCCCCGGAGAACTAGAGCAGCGGGACGCCTGGTCCCGCCGCCCACCTTCTCCGGGGCGAGAAAAGCTGCTCCCCGTCTCCCTGGTCTGCTGGCTCCGCCAGCAGACCAGGGAGACGCTGAACAGAGCGGCGGAGCACCCGGCCGGACCCGCGCTGCTTCCAGCTGATCTGGAAGCGGCCGCGGGTCCAGCCCCCGGTGCTCCTCCGCTTTGCTCCCGTCTCCCTGGTCTGCTGGCTCTGCCAGCAGACCAGGGAGACGGGGCG